TATTATAAATAAATATAAATTTTATGCTCAACTTCTTAATTTAAAAAAATAAAAAATTACGTTTATTTTGAAACAGATAATTTATTTAATGGAATATTATTATATTATTTTTTTGAACAAACATGATTAATTTTAGGGTTTTTTGGTGTAATAAACACTTTTTTTGGTTATAAATTTGTATTAAAAATAAAAATTAACATTTAATTTATTAACTATTTAATTAAATTTTTTTATTTGATAATTATAGTAATATTAATTTTTATAGTTTTTAATATACTTTTATGATTAAAAAATGGTTTTAAGGTCACAAAAACTCTTAATAGTTAATATTATTATCCAACAGTTCACTAATATTATTGTAATCTGTACTTGTACCTTGATTGGTTCCAAACTTGCCACATGACGCTACTTTTATGCTGTCTAGGAGGGACAAAGATTATGGGTCCCTTTTTGAGATATGGAGGATGCTTTCAGTGATGATGTTATTATGAGCCAATTATGTTCTGATTAAGATTTAGAGGTAATAATAGGATAAACTCTGAGTCAAAACATCTACTGCATCCAAATTATGTGTTTGGTTTGTAATTACTCATAGTCGCAATTCCATTTTAATGTAAAGTTGGGGCATCATGTCTAGTCATGAATTCTTCTCCCATAGGTTATCCCAAACCGTCCATAAAGTCTGTCGTAGCTAGCAAAGGCCTTTTTTTCAAAAGTGATGATGCGGTTGTGAAAAGGCAAGGATCAAGACTCAAGAAGCAAGATCTACCCTAGAAGGAGAAATTAAATAACATAACTAATAGGTTCAGTCAAATTATCACTGAAAATAAGGAGTCTTTGGCCCAACTTTACGCCCCCAAAACAAACCTACTCCACCAACAAAGGCTTGTTCACAGGTGAAATACTCTGTCAAAGTCTTGGTTTGAAGTCTTGGAAACCCCTCCTAATTTGAAAACCAATATATTACCAAAACCCTTTATAAAAAAAATTTCAGCAGTCGTTTTCATCCTCTTTTATATAAAGGTCAAGACCGATTATATATATATATATTATATATCCATTTTCCTAATGTTTAGAAGGTTCTATCCTTTCAACTCTTCATACACATTTGCATTAAACATGTACGCATGCAACATATATCCAAAGGAAAATAGCATTTTATTCCTAAACAGATGGACTTACAAGGAAAAAGGGTTCGTTTTTTCAGTTTTTAACTATAACTAAAAAATATATATATATTTAGATCTTTGGTTGTTATCTCCTTCAAACCGCAAATTGTTCCATCTAGATTCTCTTCTAAATGCCCATGTATAATATATAGTACACAGAACCTATATTTGCTTCTCAAAAATGATCATCTGAGCACCGTAACACCTTCAATGCAGAGACTAACTGTTAATCATTTTCTCATATTTTCACCACAAAAATATTTTTGTGAGCATCCCATGAGAAATATTTACGTATAAATCCTTAATTTATCTAAAGTCAACCTACTCATAAGTTAAATTAATCCAAAATTATATTAAAAAAAAGGGGGGACAGCTCGAATATTCACATCTGTCACCGCCAATCATAAAAACTGGCATCCCCTCATCAACACGTGGCACCAACACTTTGTTACACGGGCTGTCAAAAGTAATCAAAAGCCGTTGATTCCTTCTGAGGACACACCGGCGTCGTCTTTAACCTCCGTAAATTTGGAATTTCCGGCGGTGTCAGCGACCGTATCAGGGCGAAATTCAGGCCTTTGAAAAATGGATGGGTTTTGACGTCGGCGGCTCCACGCTTGCACCCGAGGCGGCTATTAGGGTCCTTGTTTAGGAGACCCGAGATCAAGTCCCGCGCGTGGATTTCAAGCATGGAAGAAGGTGAGTGCGTGGGGAAGGTCAGGGGCTTTTTTACGATGTTGCACAGTGTAGTTTCATTGGATGGAGCCGCGAACGGAGTGCGACCGTAGATCAGTTCGTAGATGAAGATCCCGAAGGACCACCAGTCAACGGCGTTGCCATGGGACCCACCGGATGCCACCTCAGGGGAGACGTACTCGTGGGTTCCAACGAATGAGCTTGATTTGGCGGTGACCGGCTCGGCCACAAAGAACAACCGGCTGGAGGAGGACAGTGTTTGAATCTTCTTTGACCGGAAGAGCCGGTGGAAGAGACATGAGAGCCGGGTAGAATGGGGGCGGATGCACCTATGGTTCGCTGGAGACGCAGCGCCAGGGGAGGATGACGGGGATTCAACGGCGGCGATGGCATCTGAACAGAGAGACAGGTCGAAGTCGGAGAGCATGATATGACCGTCTGATCTTACTAAAACGTTCTCCGGTTTTAAATCTCTGTAAATGATTCCCAGCATGTGGAGGTACTCCAGCGCTACGAGAACTTCAGCAGCATAAAACCTGTACGCAGCAAGAAAAAATTTAGTACCTAAATGAGGCAAAAAAAAAGAAAATCTCAGGAAACAAACTGAATTTGAATTTAATGAAGGAATCAAATCTCCTGGTTTCTTGCATGCGAAGGGATTTAAGAAAGCAACAATAATCAATAAGGTGATTTCATTATTCTAATAACAGGAAACTTGAGTCAGAAAAACAAAGATAAAATCTCAGTTGTAGGAGAAAGCGATTTCTAAAAATCCAATCAATTAAGAAGAAGAAGAAGAAGAAGAAAACAATACAGGAAGAGAACGAAGATAAGAACAACAAAGCGCTTGCAAAACAGTAAAACGCTGCAGCTTTTCAACAATCTAATATGATATCCCTGTAGCGTTAATTTTAGAATATTAAAAAAAAAAAAACTTTGAGCATGAATATTTCAATATCCGCCATGAAAATGTACCTTGCAGAGCTCAAAGAGAAGCGTTTGTGGGGCTGTTTATGTCTGAGAGAATGCAAATCGCCGCCGGAACAGTACTCCATCACGATACAGGAGAACTGAGAAGCCTCAAACTCTGCATACAGAGTGGGCAGAAATGGATGATCTAGCATTTTCAAGATCTTTCTCTCTATTTCCGCTCGCTGCACTTTCTTTTTCAATTCTAAAGCCTCCTTGTCCACCACCTTCATAGCGTAATAGCAGTTCTCATCACCATTCGCAAGTGAACAGAGGTAGACGGTTCCGATATCTCCGGCGCCGATGCGGCGGTGCAGCCTGAAATCTCGGCAAGTTAGTCCGGCCTTGCGGCCGAAGGTCGCTGAGCGGATTGCGGAGTAAGCGAAGTCGGAGGAGCGGTGCGGCTTGAGAGTGAGATTCTCCGGCGAAGATCGCCAGATCGGAAGCTCGAAAGAGAGCCGACTGAAGCTACCGCAACTCTCGCTACTCATCGAACTCTGACTCGAATTCCTGGTTTCCGAACTCAGCTCACTCTCTGATCTCCGATCAAACTCAAACATCTTATGCTTCTCAAACCAAATTTCCCACACCTCTCTCTCTTATACGAGAGAACAACCAATTACCAGGTAAAAAAGGTCAAATCGGATTAGCCGGAGAGAGAAAAACGAAAGGCTTGGAGGTACGAATTGGAATCAGATACCGACGAAAAAGAGAAGCATTAAAAGGTCGGTAGAGGTGAAGCTTTGAATGCACATTTAGAACAGAGCAGGCTTTGGGAGGTCTGCAACTTAGAAAATTAAGGTTTCTGAGCAAAAATTAGGGTTTCTCACTCCGTATTCGGAGTGAAAGAAAGCAGAAATAAAGGTGTTTTCTTCTTCTCTGGTTTAGTTAGGGAGAAAAGTGGAGGAAGGTGGTTGGGGTATTTATGCCTAGTGACAGCGGGGTCAATTCGGGGATCAAATTGTAACCGCGATTAACTGGTGGGGTTTACACGTGAGGGGAAAAAGGAGATTTTACACTACAGGGGTAGACCTGGCAGGCTTGATGACGTAATTTTTGGGGGTAGCGGCACGTGCGACCGTTCGTCACGTGGGGTGGGTTGCTTCTTTCCTTTTTCACTTGCATTGAAAATTTGAAATTTTACACCCCGCGTCACCTCGTGTGTGGGCTTCTTTGCTTTGGCAGATTCCGTGGAATGCCCTTCCGTAATTCCGGATCTACCCTCATAAATTTCTAAATTTTATTAGAAATTATTATATCCTACCACTACCAGTAAAATTATTTAAATAACAGTTTTTGTTATATATTCATTTATTAAAAACTTAATTTTTTACAATTAATTTTTGTTATCTTAAATGAAACAATAAGAAATAAGTATATGTCATTTCTTAATTTATTTCTATTATGTCTTAAATTTAAATTTTTTATTTCTATGAACAAAAAATTATTATTGACATAATCTTCTCTTTTAAATTAAGCTTGTTTAATTTAATTATTTTAAGCTTACTGCTCCCTTTAGTTTATTAGTTGTCTTACATACAAAACTGACTTAATTTTTTTTTCTAAACTTTAAGGGACAAAGCCGATTAAAATTGACTTAGGAAATGAATTAATGATTGATGTTGGTATGCTGTTCACTAATGATGCAGCTTAATTATTTGTTTAGCATCTCCAATATTCTAAATTAAGTTGTAACTACTTCTAAATCCATTGAACTATTTCTTCCCTTTTATGAACAATCAATATTCCCATTCAACATCTTTTCAACATTAATCACGCTCTTGAGTTTGTGAATGAATGATTAAGAAATTAATTACAGGGCCTAGCCATATGTCATCAAACGCTCCCCCTTTGTCTTCGTCCATGCTTCACTTTAAAAGGTAATAACACAACCCCAACATCGACAAGATGTTTTTCACCAAGTTCTAACATGTGCATTGTTTGACTCCCACGTATTAATGTCTTTTAGCAAAAACAATGATGCAATTGAAGTTAGAAGAATTGATGGAAGAAATGGAGTAAACGTAGCAGTTCTATTTTCACAAGCCAAGCATTGCATATTATCCACTTGATTCCGAAACCTCTGTCGGCCCTAAAGATATGCCCTTGAACCTTGTCTCAAGTAGGACAAGAATGATCTTCAAGAGATACATGCGCACACGCACCCTAAAATAATTGCATATTCACAGTAAAAAAACTGTTTTGGACTCTTAGCACGATCGACGTGATACATACATTTGGGTTGATTCCAATAGTAAAAAATGATATGCGGATTCGAATCCTTCCAGTACTTAATAGTACCCAATCTCATATATTTTGAATACGCCTAGGATACATCATTTGTTTTTAATTGTTTGTGTATGGCACAGGAAATCAAGTAACTGAGCAGGATGTATGGAAATGCCAGACCATGCAGGAACAAGGGAGTAATTGCTGTTCAGCTTAAGGTGACAATTGCTTTGCATTGCATTTACCAATACCTTTGGATGTGTTTGGATGCAGGGTATACTGTGCCCCTTGAGTGCTGTATAATAAATTTTATTCATTCAAATTTTGGGTTTTTCTTTTCTTTTTTATACTTTCACAAAATGAAAGAAAAATGGGGATTTCTTTGGTTATTTATTGACATAAAATCCAAATGCATGACATGTCAGCAAGATTGGAAGCAAAGGTAAGGTAAGGTGGGGGAAGAAGTTAATTAGGCTGGGTGGGGTCTAGTAGATGATGGGCCTGATATAGGTCCCAGTGAAAAGAACAAGTCCCTAAAAGGCTACATGCATTTCTGATTTTATTTCACAGTTTTAAATGGAATTTGAAACTGATGCACAAATTGGGACCATCAGAGTCTTGGGTAGGAATTTGGGTGCCTTGCTAAAGGCCAACAGAAAGTGTAACAACTAACAAGTAGTACTGTTGGGGGCCTTGGGGCATGACCATTCCCCCCAAAGCCAAAAGCCTAAATCCCCACATTGAAACAAGTTATCATTTACCAACCCAAATTTGATGGGATTCTTGGATGATTAAGAATTTGAAGATGTTGTTTAATTAAATTAATCAGCAACTCTTTTACAATCTATCGTTAAAGATTAGTAACCTTTTTATAATTTATCATTAAAGTTCACCGGATGAAAAAATGCAAAAAGATTTATTATTGAGTAATAGTCAAGGACTCAAATTATTGAATTAAGCGTGTAAAAAAGGACAGTATTTTATGAGAAAAAAACAGCAGAAATCTTGTTATTAATACGAAGGAAAAGGCCATTATTGATTTTGCCATTATCTATTCATTTTGACCTATATATATATCATGTGGGTCATGGGAATTGGAATATCAATATGGGTCCAGATTTACAGTGAATAATGGAGTTGCTAATGGAATTTCTACACGATCATATGTTAAAACACCAATCATGCAATACAGATGGTCATAGCAGAACAGAAAACCCAATAATTGTATGGGAGCGGAAGATATGATTTTAGAGGAAAGTAAAAGGCAAAGAAGAATAGGAACCTCAAAATTCTAACCCGAAATCCTGGATTTTGGGGAATCAAACACAATCTATAAAATTGATTTGATTACAAAGCTCAAAACTTTTAAACCCTAGATTTAGCAAATCATAATAGACTACTTATCATATTGACAATTCCCACTTAGGAGCGATCTTGTGGACCAAAGCTCTTTTTATCTTACTCATTGTCATCTTTTTTACACTTCTTTTGATACCTGGGGCCGATTTTTGTCATGTTTCTTTCTGTTGCTCATCATCTGAAAAGGAATAATTATTAATTAGAGACATTGAAAGATTAAACTTAAACTCAAAGTTATCACTGAGATTACACTAAGATTTTGCATGAAATTTGCTGGCCCACTTGACAATATGAAGATCCCTCCAAAGTTCCCCATTATTCTATTGTAAATCCAAAATTACAACCCTTATGACATCATACGTGATGCATAAGTGAATAATTAAGTTTTTTTAGTCTACCAGTAGTCATCTCCTATGATTCCCCCTAATCATTCAGTTGTACAAAATTGAATCCCTAACTCTAGATGTGAGTAGTCTACCTTTCGATCAAACTAAGTTTGCTGTCAAACCAATCTTCTAGTGTATATAGTACGCCTTTCGATTTGTTCATAATTAAGTTTATTTAGTCTACCAGTAGTCATCTGATCCTATGATTCCCCCTAATCATTCAGTTGTACAAAATTGAATCCCTAACGCTAGATGTGAGTAGTCTACCTTTTGATCAAACTAAGTTTGCTGTCAAACCAATCTTCTAGTGTATATAGTATGCCTTTCGATTAATTTGTTCATTTAAAAATATATAGTAATTAAAAATTTGAGTCTTCATATTAAAAATTTTATATTTAAATTTTAAAATTGATGTTTAGTGGTTAAAAAGAAAAGAGTTATTTTTTATTATATAATATATTATTGAATATATAAAAAAAAAATTCCTATCTTGTATTTTAAAGATATAAAACAAACGTGTATTTATTTTTTTTATTAATAATATACATAGTAAAATTAAAAATTGATATTAACTTTATTAATTATCCAATAAAAAATATCAATGTATCATAAATGTTAAAATTAATGTTAATTTTTTATTTTTTATGTAAATTAATATATAATTAATGATAAAAATATACAATAAATACACATTTATAGCACAGGTAGACAAATTCATTAAAAAAGCCCTTAATTTGACAAAAAAAAAAATCTACTGGATACTAAAACAATAATCTCAATTACTCATAGTTAGTAATTACGAGCTTCTAGAGACACTTTAGGAGAAGGATCAAACAGAAAGCAAGATTAGAGGAACAGTCTGAAATGGGGAAATTGATAATGAAATTTTCAAGAAAGTATTACGTAATAGGTATAAACATAAAGAAAAGAAGGGGACCAAAGTAAACACCCCACCAATATTCCCGGTGCTTTGATAGGCCGACAATCAGACAAGATATGTCACATTACACAGAGACAAACATAAATTAATCAAAATTGGTTGAAATTCATGACATCAATCTTAACGCATAATACTAAATAATTAAGGTGAACATTGTTTCTTTGATTATAATAAATACGGATTTCGATTTATAATTAACAACATACTGACTGTATTAAGAACAACCCAGAACTAGAAAAACCAAGTGGTGGGGATTCCAAGCAGCCTCTGTTTCTCTTGGGACTGTAAGATTTCATGCATATGCCTCATGTCCCCTAATTCAGCTGTTCAATTTGCTTCTATGTCTGCTTGATTTAGTTTATGGTACAAAAATAATTATTAGTGGTTACACATCTACCTGCTGGATTCTGTCTCGTTGGTCTCATTTTCTTTGTTAAAAAGACTTGCTTGACTTTATTTATTCACTTCCAATCATGTGATTTGTCGAGATCATTAGATTCGTTAAACATCGATTAGTTTGTTAATTGTGATGTTTCTGTAAAATACAGGATGAGTAAACACTTTAGAGACAAAAACCCATGATCTATATGTTGCCATACAAAGAAATTAAAATCAGACTCGTGCTTACATTAATTATCAAAAATTAAATTTCAACAAAAAAGATTATTGTCTCCTAAGTTTACTCAACATGAGGCAAAGGAGTTTGCAGAATCGAATATTCATTTTGGCAGCATAACTATATATATAGTGATATATTATCAACGAACTGTTAGTCTGAATGGAAAGAATTTGATTTCTTTTAAACAAAATCTTGAATTTAAGTATTGTGAATGAAAAAACATATACTGAGAGAGTTTTTTTTTAATGAGATCCGATACAACTCAATTTTAGATTAATCGAAACCCAATGTAATTATTGGATATCGGGAAGTTAATAAAAAATATATATATATATATAGTGACATATTAT